GTTAGTTATATAACAATGTTATATTATCATACGGTCAATTTCCATAATACATTTAGAGAATCTTACCCGTACGACCATTCACTCTCAATGAAGGGTCCAATTCTAAGGCAGACATATAGGCCTTGTTTTTGGACTTCCGTAATGAAGCTTATTATATCCTGTCTTCCACTGAAATCGAACTGCAAAACAAAGATTACCCAGAAGTATTATTGCATTAATTAGATTCTGAAAATGACATGAATTCATTGAAAATTTATAAACTTAATAGAATATTTTTTCTCACCTTTCCTTGTCGGGGTTCATGAAGGTTCCAAAACACGTATGTTTGTATCACGTCGATTCCTCCTTCTTTGGCTTTGGCTAACAAAGATGGCCACATCTGAAAATGACATGAAAATTGGAAAATATATACAATTAATTTGTATAGGTTTAAACCATAGCTTTAGAAAATGCTACCTTAAATTATATGGGTTAGAAAAATGGTTACAGCTTACAAATTGGGCTGAATCAAATTTCTTTAGAAAAAGAAAAACTAGTATAAAACCGTGGTCAACTTGCATGCTTTCGTGACGAATTGGAGTGCTGGTAAATAAAATTTACATTTGGATTAAAAAATATTTAGATATGAGTTTTCAGTGGGCTTTAGGTAAGTTTTTATTACATTGCCACTTATAGAAATTTAAGACACATAGACTAACACGATGCAATGGATACTAATTTATAACTAATGTGAATTTAATACAGGCGTCATTAACTATAAGCATATGCCACGTCATCAACTATTATATACAACTATATATATTGATACAAACGATAGTCTAAACTACATGGAAGGGGGTTTTTCACACACACTATCAATGTGTCATGGAGGTTCGAATCTGAGACCACTGGTCTACAAATCAAGACTCTTTTTCCACTGAGCTAGATCTCGTTGGCACAAAATATGAATTTTAGTAATTTGTGAATGATCATTTGCACACATTTTCCACAAATCATGCAGAAACTAGCTGCAATTTTCTCAGCAAGAAAAATATCTTCTTGGAAGAGAGCCCTTGTCTTTTTCTTCCCCTTGTTTTTTTTTTCGGGTTTTGTGGCGGTTTTCTATCTTCTTATTCTTACTTTCACTTCCTCAACTAGAGGGAAGAAAACTCTTATTTTCTCAACTAAAGCAAGAAAGACCACTATTATAAGTCATAGTTAGGCTCTTTTTGCATTATGGATTCTAGACTTTAATAAGCTTTTTCATTCCTTTGCATTATCTTTAAATGGGCTTTAAAAAATTTATAAAAAAATAAGAATATGAGAAAATGTAGAAAAATAAAAGGCAGCAGAGAATCCAGCTCTGCTGCTGCACTCACCTACCCCAAAACAATGAGAAATGAATGATTTTGTTTCACAAGGCAAAACCCAGAATTTGGATATTCAAATGAAAATGGAAATGAAAACCAATCAAGAACAAGAATATAAATTATTATGTAATGCAATAAGGGTACCTCAGGAGTGCTTCTGGGATAATGAATGGAACCAGAAAACAGAATTTTGTGTTGGCCATCTATAATCAAAGACCTTGCATCATATGTGACACTGCCAGCCTCAGAGTTGCAGACAAGGCTCATCTTTAACAACAAAGCAAAGCTGCACAGAAGAAGCCACACCATCTCCATTTATGCCAGAAAAGCTTGTACAGAAGTATCTCAGAGTCCAAGGAAGGTCTCAAAATTCCACCACCTCCTTATTGGTTGCAGATTTCTGAGCCCAGAAAAACAAAAGGGTTTAAAATCTTGTAGCAGATTCTCATTGGGTTTGTCTGAGATGGCCAAAATTTTAAAAGAAAAAAAAACAACTTACTCAGTGGCTTAGAACAGAGTAGGCACGTTGCAATGGGCCTGCAGAAATCAAGTTGTCTCTTTCACTAAGTATACTTACGTCTCTTTTTCCTGTAGGGACTTAGCTTTCTCTGCTATGAGATCAGAGGCTTGGACCCTTCACTGGCTCCATGCCTTTTGAGTTTCTTCAACAGCTCCTCTGCTTAGTTCCTACTACTTATAAAATGTTTGTCTTGTCTTGGTCACCACCAGGGGCATGTATGTATGTATGTATGTATGTATGTATGGATATATCTAGTTTCCGCCGTATATGGTAATGTACGTTGGGATTTTAGACTCGAAATAATAATAACCATTTTTGCTTTCTAGCTAATTCAATTCCATTAAACAACCTGCTCCTTTTGGAATTCACATGGGGAAATGGAATCAAGAATTACCAGGTTTATTTAGTGGCATAGGTGGTCGAAAATATATGCAAAGTGAAGCCTTTTTTTAATTTATAAGATGGAAATAGCTAATTGCAGAAAAATATTGCGAATCTAGACCACATATTCAGACAATAATCAATTTTGATTAATAGTTCTGATTCGCAGTCAGATAATATAATATTTTCCTATATATACGTACACATATATGAGATTATCCTCATTATTATGCGTAGAGTTTTTTTTGGGTCGGATAACTCAAGCAAATAACTGAAATATTAATTACAATTAGGAACGTTTTTATTCAAATATATGCAACTTTGCGTGCATAGCTGACAATTGGATTGGCGTTGAAGTTTGTTGTGACAGGTTTAAAGATTAATGCTATACAAGTCAACTTATTATATTAAATATCAGAAATGTTTTATTTGTTTTCTGTTTAAGCCCACTTTAAATTTTATTTATTCAAAATAAATAAGAAATTGTCACATTAATCGGACTTCACGAGTTTGTCTAATATCTATATCTTAAGTTTGTATCTTATAACACGGCATGGGTGGCTGCTTGTTTTAAGGGAAAAACGTGAAGCATACTCTGTCTGTCCCCTGTAATTGACTTGCATTGCATATAAAACCACCAGCTAATATATATATGTATATATGGTTCTTTAAAGTAACAAGTAGATGACCAAAAGGGTTTCGAAAACTGAATTACTTGGGGCTTTTGCCATGCATGATCAGCATGATGCATATGTTTTCGGTTTTTCTTTGGCTGTATCTCAACCCTGCGTGATCACTGTGGTGTTTGGATGAAGCATCTCGCTTGTTAGTTATATGTCCACATACTTTTGTTGTCGATACACTATCTATACAGATATCGATACACTATCTATGCAGATATCATACCAAGACTTCAGGTTATCTACTTCAAATACAACTACCATATCCTATATAGGTTGTTCCTATCTTTAAGCCAGGAAATTTTATTTTTTTTGGGACGAAAGCTTTAAGCTAGGATTGGGCTTTGAGTATTGTACTTGATTTGCTTGGGCTGACCAATACGGAGCTTGAATTTAAAACCCATGTCCGGAGTTACAATTAAACTCATCAAACAACGGCTAGAACTTTAGTCTAATTTAATTAGACTAATTCAATGCAGTTCAACCCACCAATCAAGACTTGAATCTACTTAATTTAACTAGCAAGATAAGCCCAAAGCTAAGACAATCAAGAAGCAATCCAAATAGGAGATAGCCCATATGAGATTATTGAAAAGTGCCTAGTTAAGAATGAGGTGCCTTATGTACAACTAGTTATATTCCATATTTTTGTACCATCTAATGTTTTCTCTTCATTAATGAGACGAGACAGTACATCGAATGATTAGTTGAGATTGTAGATATAATAACACTCAGTTTAATATCATATGATAAATCTATAAATTATTCCATTCCACTTACCGTGGTGACCAAAACGTTGGAATATTAATTTGTAGGAAGGATTTTTGTTCCATTCTTTCCAACCAAACATGACCTAAAAGTTTGGTTTCTTATAACTAGATAAAGCCCTCATTATAAAATGAATCTTAACAATATATATATATATATATATATATATGCAATGAAATTAGGTTGATTTGATAGACATAACCCAATAAATTTGGATCCATGAAATTGGCCCGGCCCATATCAATTGTTTTGACCCAATGCAATAAAATTTTGCAAAAAAAGAAAAAAAAAGGTTGAAAGAAGACTAGAAGAGCTGGAGTGACGCCGAAGAAATCAGGCACCATTTTTATTAGTTTCTTGTGTTGTTGAGCAAAAGCATTTTGCACAAACAAAACAATCTCTCTTCACTTTCAGTCTTTCAGTGAAGAGCAATTTGATTTTTATTTTGAGCAACCTAATCCCCGATGTCGGTAAGTTGAAGCATATGCATTATTCCACGCACAGATGCTTATTAGGGTTTTGCAAATACCAAATTGAGATTTGATTTTTGTTTTCAAAAAATTTGGTTGCAGATCTTCGAGTACAATGGGAGTGCACTGATCGCAATGGTGGGCAAGAACTGCTTCGCCATAGCCAGCGATCGGCGCCTCGGTGTTCAGCTCCAGACCGTCGCCACCGACTTCAAGAGAATCAACCAAGTCCACGATAGGCTCTTCATCGGCATCTCTGGCCTCGCCACCGATGCTCAGACTCTGTAGGTTCCTTCTCTCTCTCTCTCTCTCTCTCTCGTTATTGCTTTTGCTTTCTTTTGTGTAATTTTTGGGGATTTTGGTGTGCAGGTATCAGAGGCTTATGTTTCGCCACAAGCTGTACCAGCTGAGGGAGGAGCGGGATATGAAGCCCGAGACTTTTGCCAGCCTCGTCTCCGCTATTCTTTATGAGAAAAGGTTTGAAATTTGCTCCAACTCCAATCTGAACCCCTTTATGTATAAGCTTAAGAAAATTTGATGGGTATTAAATATGTTAGCTTAATCTGAATGTTAAGTTCTATACAATTATTTCACGTTAATAACATTTGATGAACTACAGTATAAGGGTTTTCTTCCTTTTTTGTGATTTAGGTTTGGCCCATACTTCTGTCAGCCTGTAATTGCTGGGCTAAGTGATGAAGACAGACCATTCATCTGCACCATGGATTCAATTGGGGCCAAGTAAGTTAGTTTTCTTCTCTATTTTTTGATAGACATAACCCAATAAATTTGGATCCATGAAATTGGCCCGGCCCATATCAATTGTTTTGACCCAATGCAATAAAATTTTGCAAAAAAAGAAAAAAAAAGGTTGAAAGAAGACTAGAAGAGCTGGAGTGACGCCGAAGAAATCAGGCACCATTTTTATTAGTTTCTTGTGTTGTTGAGCAAAAGCATTTTGCACAAACAAAACAATCTCTCTTCACTTTCAGTCTTTCAGTGAAGAGCAATTTGATTTTTATTTTGAGCAACCTAATCCCCGATGTCGGTAAGTTGAAGCATATGCATTATTCCACGCACAGATGCTTATTAGGGTTTTGCAAATACCAAATTGAGATTTGATTTTTGTTTTCAAAAAATTTGGTTGCAGATCTTCGAGTACAATGGGAGTGCACTGATCGCAATGGTGGGCAAGAACTGCTTCGCCATAGCCAGCGATCGGCGCCTCGGTGTTCAGCTCCAGACCGTCGCCACCGACTTCAAGAGAATCAACCAAGTCCACGATAGGCTCTTCATCGGCATCTCTGGCCTCGCCACCGATGCTCAGACTCTGTAGGTTCCTTCTCTCTCTCTCTCTCTCTCTCTCGTTATTGCTTTTGCTTTCTTTTGTGTAATTTTTGGGGATTTTGGTGTGCAGGTATCAGAGGCTTATGTTTCGCCACAAGCTGTACCAGCTGAGGGAGGAGCGGGATATGAAGCCCGAGACTTTTGCCAGCCTCGTCTCCGCTATTCTTTATGAGAAAAGGTTTGAAATTTGCTCCAACTCCAATCTGAACCCCTTTATGTATAAGCTTAAGAAAATTTGATGGGTATTAAATATGTTAGCTTAATCTGAATGTTAAGTTCTATACAATTATTTCACGTTAATAACATTTGATGAACTACAGTATAAGGGTTTTCTTCCTTTTTTGTGATTTAGGTTTGGCCCATACTTCTGTCAGCCTGTAATTGCTGGGCTAAGTGATGAAGACAGACCATTCATCTGCACCATGGATTCAATTGGGGCCAAGTAAGTTAGTTTTCTTCTCTATTTTTCTGACTTTCTCACAATTTTAGAGCTGCCCAGATGCTAAAGACTTCACAATTGTTTCTTCACCTTCCGAAATAGGATAAATATGCTTGCTTTCTTACTCCTTTTGATTATATGTTTTTACATATATGTTTATGTGTATTTTGCTTCTTAGGGTAATGTTTGTATGTATATGCAGGGAACTAGCAAAAGATTTTGTTGTTGCTGGTACTGCATCAGAGTCCCTTTATGGTGCTTGTGAGGCAATGTTCAAGCCTGATATGGTTTGTTTCTCCATTCAACTTGCACTACCTTTTCCCATGCACAGTCAAGATTTGTTATTTCATCTGCCGTATTTTTTTTTTTTCAAATATGAGATTTTCAGTTTTTGGTTCTTTAGATATTCTGGCAAATCATACATGTCTCCAATGTATAATTAACACTCAAGTGCTTGACTACTAGACAATGTTCGAGCGCATTGTGATTCATATATTAATTTTATAAATGCGTTGTTTCTACTGAAAGTAATAGAGAATAGGGTTAAATTCAAGAAATATATAGTATAAATGAGTTTATTGCTTCTACTGAAAGTAATAGCATAGGGGGAAAATTCAAGTCAAGGAAAAACAAGCTGAGAGATCTACTATTAGTTGTACTTTTCTTTTCTTTTCTATCTTGTCAGCAGTCAAGTGTAACATAAACAAAAGCTGCATAGAGATAAACAGTTGGCTCCATTGCCAACTGAACTTCATTAACCGATCATGAGATTTTGTGGGGTTTAACTCATGGTAGAATTTATTAATTGCTAATAAGTTAAAAATCTTTGTGACATTGTTTGCTTCTAGTCCCTGCTAAACTTGCGATCTCCTATTTTATTTTCTTACATTATGGGAGCAACTCTAACAATAGTGTATCTACTAATTGTCACTCAGGAAGCAGAGGAGTTGTTTGAGATTGTCTCTCAAGCATTGTTTTCATCAGTAGATCGAGACTGTCTGAGTGGTTGGGGAGGCCACGTCTTTGTTGTGTAAGCCTTTCATACTATTTAATTTATTCTTATTATGCAATATCTATACAAACTGTGTTTTTAAGTAAAAATAGGTGTATGCGTGCGCGCGTGCGCGTAGGGTGGTACTTGGGGGGGGACTAAGATTATACTTTTCATTTTGTCATTCGCAAATATGCTATGATGTATGTTTCACCTGAATACGCTATAAGGAAAATAGTTTGTCAATGCAATAACTCTGACTGTAAAACTGGGCTTTGCATAATATGATTAATGTTATTGTTAAAAACCGAGAATCCTGTTTGTCCTGTAGCCACGTTGTTGTAATGCTTCTTGAGACTGCCATGAAGCTACTTAGAAAGGAGAAGACACAACATTTATCAATGGCGCTTACCATTACATGTAGTCAGTTATCTATGTTGATGATGAAATAGAGCATTAATTGTAGCTAATTCCCTGCTTAGAATTAAATCCCAGGAATCAATTTCTATTGCGGACTGAATTTGTAATCCATTTTACTGGATTTCTTCTGCTTCCTTATATCCTTATTCTCTCCATATTATGAGTTTCACATTAGTACGATGATAAGGGTTATTTGTTTCCTTCTATTATGTGGGAGGTAATACTACAATTTAACATGTGTATTCATTCACTTTTCTGCAGCACACCAACTGAAGTGAAGGAGAGAATCTTGAAGGGAAGAATGGATTGACCTTGCCACATGGCTTGTAGTGATACCTCTTACCTTTCGTTCAGGCTGCATTTTTCCCTCGCGTTTATGTAGCTTTGACTTGAATGGGCAGCCATAAGCTTTATTGGTGATCAAAGGCCCCTTGTTATGTCGTGTTTAGATTTAATGTACTTTGACGATTATAGACAATGGGGTCATTTGTTTTATATTAGGTCACTTCGAGAAAATGTTGGGAATTCAGATGTGCTTTTGAAGGTCAGTTGTTATGCTCGCGAATGTTTCTAAAGAAGTTGCACATTTATGCAGTTCTATTTGCCTTTTCTTTTTCTATTCAGCTAGTCGTTCCTTAACCACTGGCATCTACTGTCACTGTTCCTCTGTTTGGTTGTCCAGTAATACAGGTGGTACTTCAAATTCTTATCGAATAAATTTTTAAACAGAAAACCCGTAACGAATTATCTGCCGGAATATAGTCGCGCAACATAGGGGTTGCGCATGAAGAACCTTGTTCACTCTGTTTTTTGTGCTCTTATAGCTAAGCCTTTAAGAGTATTTTCACCCATTTGTCATAACAAAAGGGGGAGGTAAGGGTTGTTACTATTCAAATAATGTCTGCTTTGGCTTTTTTTTGTTTGGGTTTTCCACCCATTCCATGGCAACTCTAGGGCAACTAATACTACTATTCACATGAGATACGAGGAGATGAAGTTTTGGTGTGGGAAGTGAAAAATATGGCTAAGTATTTATAAAATAAAATAAAAGATATTTAGTGATATACCCATTCTTAGTACTAATATTATAAATAAACTTTACACCATTAAATTTCTATAGACAAACCCAAAAAAAACCTAAAAAATGACAGCTGGCCTTATTGAATTTAATATTGAATATTAAATTACTTTGATGTCTATTGAGTGTTTTGGGTATTTTTATGAGATTTTGGGGTTGGACTTGTATTAAGAAATTGATGGCAATTTTGTAATTTAAAAGAAATTAAAAGCTTATTTGTTATGTTATAAATAGGTTTTGAGTGTGTTTATAAAGTCCATTTCATATGGAGTATTTTTATAATTTGGGTCTCTATATTTGGTATAATAGTGAATCTCCCATTAAAAAAAAATTATGAAAATGTTAGTTTTTTTTTTTTCCTTTCCTTTTTTTCAATTTTTTTGTTATTTAAATTGGTTGTTGATGTAACAATAACGTCAGAGTTATGTCAACTTGTCCAGATTGGTGGAGCCCAACTTTTGCCTTGGCAAGAATTGGGTGCTGGAAACGGGATTGAGGGCCTACAGGGTGTATTTACCATTGCTGGATAAGCATCAATCTTTTGTGCGTTAAGAATCTGATGAATGAATTGAAATTATAAGCAGATCAGATGAGCGAATGGATATGTCTATTTAGCAACTCTTCAACTAATTTCTTGTGGTATAGTAAGAAGGTGAAAAAAAATGCCTTCACCCCATATGGGCTTAGATTCATAAATGGCCTCAAGGCTAATGGTTCTGATTTTAGGCCCTTTTATCAAAATAGCAAGCCCACTTGTGTAGGAGTTCTTCTGAACTTTCTTTTGGATCAAGCTTTCATTTGCTTAAAACAAGAAGCCGAGAACATAAAGGTCATTTCAACGAATTTCTTAAACAAAAAAAAACCCAGTTCATTTCATCTATGAGAGTTCGATGTGATTGAAGACCTCTTCAGGTGATCTGCTTTATGTGGGTAGACCCCTAATTAATTATTCTGGGGACCATGGATGTGTCGATAAACGAGTTGACAAGGGCATTGCCTTGGCCTAGAGGAGAGGCAATTGTGTGGGGGACAAGTCTCAATCTAGGACTTTGAATTTTGGAATAAGAGATTGTTACTTATGGGAGATCATTTTCTTTAGCACAAAACTTTGAATTAGGAATCTGGATGAAATCTATGAGAAATGGTTTTCCATTGCTTGCCATGGAAGTTACCTCTTCTCTAAGAAACCACATAAAAAATAATCCCTAGTTCCCCTCATATATCTCAAATGAATTGAGTTTTTGGCACTGTGCTCCCGGAAGAGTTTGATCGTAGTTTTTGGAATGGATGGCGGAGAAGATCAAAGCAAGCAATCTACCAGGAGAACCCCTTTCACTGAACTCAATCAAGTCAGCTCGGATTTCATTCTAGCCATGGCAATGCAAGAACAAGAACAGGCGTACACAATGCTCGAAACCATCGAAAGCGATAGCAGCGAAGAAGAAGAAGACGATGCTTCCTCCTCTAATGAAAACTATGATCAAGACGATACGGCTTTCTTCCAAAGCAGAGAATTCGAAACAGAGTTCGGGTTTCTTGAGAACGAAGACCGCGGCAACAGCAGCGACCAAGAAATGGATGAAGATGATTTTGATGTGGATGAGCTAACTTATGAGGAGCTGATTGCACTTGGAGAGTTCATAGGGGAAGAGAAAAGAGGCCTGCCCACCAATGAAATTTCCACATGTTTGCAGCCCTACACAAGCAAATCACCATCATCTAATCAAAGCAAGACCGGCATTGACAGATGTGTGATTTGCCAGATTGAGTATGAAGATGGAGAAGCCCTGGTTGCATTGTCTTGCCAACACCCTTATCATTGGGATTGTATAAGCAAGTGGCTTGAGATTAAAAAGAGCTGCCCAATTTGCAGCACAGAAGTTTCATCAACATCATCATCCAAAACCAAGAACATATAAACTGTTATTAGAAACAGTCATTTCATTTCATTTTATTCATTGGGTTTGTTTGTAAAATTGTAAATGTTCAAGATATTTATTTGTTATCACTTGTATGTAATTAATTAATCCGTTGCGATTTGGAAATGAAAATAAAATTTATAAAAGTTCACGGCACATATACTTTATTCATAATTTGAGAATCCCGTCTTTCTAAAATTTAACACGTAAAATACGTGACAAATAATATAAAAAGCATATGTTGACAAAGAAAGCACTAGAGCTGGAAGTGCAAGAAAAGCAGAAATGTCAATTTGTCAAGCTGCCTTTTTATCTTATCAAGAAGAACAAAAATAAAACCAAACCAATAGATTAGCATATAAAAGTATTTCGCATGAATGAACGAGAAGACTCTAATAAAAGTTCAATTATAATTTAAAAAGGTTGAAAGTTCCATGGCGCCGCCTTTGCCTTTAGGATACAGCTGCTGCTGGGTCGGTCTCAGAGCAGGTCTAGTTTCGTCCTCATATGCACCGTTGGCCAAAACAAACCTCGGCCTTCATTGGACATAATTTGGCACATCTAAATACTTAAGTAAAACAAAAGCACCAAAACATGAAAGTCAAGAAGTCTTTGTCCTTTAATGGTGCATGTTTAATTTTTCACGTCATGACAAAGAAAGGATATGCGCGGGAATAAATTTCGATACAATGAACTTGAAAGATTGTCGACTGTTAATGGATGTTGAGTACCATAATAAGTTTGTTTATATTTACAATTAACGATTATGAAAAATCATGCAGGTCGGTAACAAGTATTGATCACACGTGCATAACTATTCAAAAGAAAACTAGTTTAGATGAGAATGTCTTAAAAAAAACAAAGTTGTTCGAATGGTTTCATGATGCTACTAGAGTTGCAAAACCAGCATGACCAAGTTGCAAATTTCAGCGGCCTCCCTTCATTATTTTAAGGATTAACACATTGACTAAGATTGTGACTATTTTTGGAGGTGTGGAAAGAAAATAAAGCATGAGACAAATTGGCGGCTGATTTTAGTGCGGCCCGTAGAAATGTGTCCATTTTTCATGCGGGTTGCTGGGGACAGATTTTGACAAAAGAAATAAAAAAACGTGTTCAATTCACTTGGTCACTGGGGCCAATTTCTCCACAATGGTTTAGGACACAGCTATAGCTATAGCTGTCCCTTAAAGTAATATTAGATTTTGGTCATTTTAGGGCAGGTTGAGATCTCTGTAAGCAAAGATTCTTCTGGTTTCACACCCTAGACAAAGTCTTTTCTTCTATTTTTGTTGGGATTGTAAATTTTTTTTAATACAAGCGATAGTTTTAACTATAAGAGAGGGGGTTTCTCACATATACACTACCAAAGTGTTATAAGGGTTTGAACCTAAGATCATTGCTCTGCAAGTCAACATCATTTCCCACTGGATTGAGATTTTATTGGGATTGTAGATATTTAAAGATGCCCTCCACTAACTTCAGGATGAAAATGACATCTCTCTCTCTTATGCAAACCCTTTTTTGAAGGTCATGGTCCGTTGTACAATGAAACTTTTTCATCTGCTCGTGCAAACGTAGAAATGAGGATCGGAACGAGAGAGAAAGAGGTTCCGTGTTTGACATTCAACCCTTCTAATGTCGCTTGTATTAAAAAAAAAACAAAAAGATTCAACGGAAAAGGAAAAAAAAAGAGGTTGGGCCAACCACCAATCAGCCCATGGTGCCCATAATTCTTGGTCATAAGCCCATCATATATTGTTTTGACCATCACTCGTTGAATTCTACCCTCATCTTGAGCATAGTGAATCTCAGCCGTCCAATCCCTCTCCGACCTCTCCTAAATGCCACCTACTCCCGGAAATTCATTTTCCCAACAAGAAACCAAACCAAACCACCAAAAGAGAGAAATCATCGCAGTTAATTTAGGCATAATTAAGATTAAGATGGCTCCCAGTCCTATCCAAATTAGAGACAACAATTTATTTATTTTAATTGACCAATGCCCCTTGATAATATATGGCCATTAGGGTAGCCATCTAGCTTGTGTACCTTTCATTTATGGGTCACTGTCTTGTCCACGTGTCCAAACAAGCACGAAGTTAATTCGGCGAGTGTGTGCTTTTGGCACAATAATAATAGCTCTGTTCACGGCCACCGAAAGCGGAGGAAACAGAGATAGCCACGTCATGGGAGTTGATAAATCCACGCCCCTTTTTTTTAATAATATTTTTGGTGGGTGTGTGTGTTTATCGAAGTGGACAAAAACTTTAGGAGGAACCGGGAAAAGTGGGGCTGGAAATAACGTGATTTGTCAGTTTCGGTGAGTGCCCGCTACCAGGTACTGACCTTCGCTAGTCCCTGTCGTCGTAAACCATTGACATGTCGTCGGAGGAAAAAATAATTACTGAAAAAATCTAAAATTAAAGAGTTTTTTCTGTCAAAATTCTATAAATTGCAGGGGCATTAATGCTTTATCTGTCATTTGGTTCATGAGAAATGAGATTTGGTAATATGAAATTAATTATTTTTTCATATATAGTAAGTTCAGACATGGAAAATAGTTGCTTAACATATAGGAAAGTAGGGGGAAAGTGAAGCCCCTCCTTTCTCATTGAGTTTTGTATTTCCTCATCATGGAAAAATTTGTAAAAATGAGCAAATATTAAATGTACATTTTTCATAACTATTTCATTCCCATTAATAATTTAGAATTACAATATATATATCATTCAATGCACATATATATATTATTTAATATGGGTATAATTAGAAAATTATACAAACTTTGTTTTCCATTTCTAAGTAAAATAAACTTGAAAAATAAAATAAATTGATATATCACGATTACTTTCCTAGTATTACCAAATATGGGAAATGAATCTTCTATTTTTCATTCTTTGAAAAATGATATGGAAAGTTATTTTTCCTCAAAATCGTTCAATGAACCAAATGGAGCCAAAAGGAAATTCAAATTGGGAAGCTATTGCAAATGTAATGGCAAGCATTCCCCATGCCCTTGCAAATGATTATTTGAGATTCAACATGATTGTGATGTTAAATATGAGTTCTGAAAAAAGGTTCAATTTCTCCATTTATTTTATGTGGAATGTTGCCTCGATTGAGGTGACATTTAATACAATACACGCGCCCACTATTAGAACCTAATACACGACTTTTTTACCTTGTCATTCGAAAACGGTGGGCAAAAATGAGGAAGTGAAAAATTCGAGATGTTTGAAGAACGAATGGTGCGGTTGGGTATATTCATACTCCACCAGACTTTGGTGAGCTTATTGAGATTGGTTATGGATTCCAACTCAAGTTTGTGGAAGCCCTTTAAGAGATGAATTGACTGAAGAATCGTGACACATTTATATGATGAAGTTTTTTGTTATGTTGATTAATATAATAAAATTAAAATGGCAAACAATCATTCATTATGTCAACGAGGTCTTAGCCTAGTGAAAAAAACATTGACTTTCAGATCAATTGTCTCATATTCGAACCATTATAGCACATTGACAATGTATGTGACAGTCCAATATCGCTTGTCTTAAAAAAATAAAAAATAAAACAATCATTCACCATAGCATACCAAGAGTAAAAATGAGTCAAAACAATGGAGGTCATACTTGACACATTTGAGTATTATGATGACGCTTTATTTTCTCCCATATGAAAAAACACACACACAGCCACAACAGAAATATTTTGGATAAAGCAGGCAGCCGACCTATAAAGTTCATACCCATAACTTGGGATGATCTATATTTGAATTATTATTATTTTGATTGAAATGCATGATGAATTACACGTACACAGAACCATATCCAATAAATATCTATATTGTCTGATAAAAAAAATGCTTTAAGGAAGAAAAACCAAAAATAAATATTATTCCCACAATTTCCATATTTCCTTATCCCGAGAAGATAAGCTTGCCAACTTTAATCCAATCAAATATCTTTCCCATATTGTTGTAATTGCCAATTTTCATATTTTTTATTATTAAGAAATGAAATAAATAATTGATATAAGAAGAAATTTATCGTTTTAGCCGAATTTAAATTTCAGAATTAAAACATGTGCGAATAATACCAAACCGTAACATTTACATTTTTTGTTGTTGATAATAACCGCGATATTTACTCAATCCAGCTGTCGACATGCCAGCACACGTGTAGGACGACAGCGCTGACGTGTTCCGTCCAACCCTACCAGCGTACCATTGTCGACTCATTGACCCGCCGACTGAACTCGGATCCCGATAACGACCCGGCCCAGACCGACTCACGCAACCGTCCAAAAGAGATTGCGTAAGCAGTGACCACAGCGCACCACATGAACCTCCATCGACACGATGCACCACACTTCCATGCTCGACACGTGTCCGGCTGCGGTCAGCACCCTCCCAAAAACCAGTCCGCACGGACTGCCCAGGAGAGAGAAAAAAACGTTATCGCCCACGTGTATTCTAGAACAACCACCCCCTCCTTCTGCCACGTGTCCCCTTCTCTCTCCCCACGGCCTCTATATATTCTCCTCTCTCCCTTACGTTTCAAGTTTCAAGTGCCGACTAGCTTGCTTAGTCCAGAAGCCGAGAGTAAATTGCCAGCGAAACACACAGCACAGTCGAATCAAACGACGCCGTTCAGAATGTCCTCCTCCGATTTACAGCTGCCGCCCGGCTTCAGGTTCCACCCGACGGACGAAGAGCTCGTGAAGCACTACCTCTGCCGCAAATGCCAGTCGCAGCCGATTTCGGTCCCGATAATCGCCGAAATCGATCTCTACAAATACAACCCCTGGGACCTCCCTGGTAATTTTTCGCCTTCCAAGATTCGATTTTGAAATTAAAAATTGAATCTTTTTGGGAGTTTTCTCATTTCTTTACTGGTTTTTGACTAATTTCACATTTTCTGTTAACAGGTTTGGCGTTGTACGGTGAGAAAGAGTGGTATTTCTTTTCGCCGAGGGACCGGAAGTATCCGAATGGTTCGAGGCCGAACCGGGCGGCCGGGAGCGGCTATTGGAAGGCGACCGGAGCGGATAAGCCGATCGGGAGCCCGAAGCCAGTCGGGATTAAGAAGGCCTT